TGCCTTCAATGTTGGGAGACGTGCGCCGGTGCTGCTTCAGTTTCCAAAGACGTGCAACCAGTCACATCTCGGTCTTAGGAGGCGTGCGGTCAACTTGATCGTGGGCCGTTGGATTTGCCTCGATCAGAGCCGTCGGTTTTCACTCGCTGTGGGTATAAATAGTGGGGGACCCCCAGTCGCTTTCCATCGTCTTTTTCCTGTGTTCGCTTCTTGAGCTCGCGTCCAAGTTTTAGCTCGCGTTAACCTTCCGTAGTCCGTTAGCTTTTTCCGGGTGAGTCAGTACTTCTTGGTTTTTCTTTCCTCCCGATGTCTAACTCAGACAGTTTAGACAGCTTCTTGAGGGGGTCAGATGCAGGTTCCACGAACCGAGCTGCATCCCCCGACAGCCTTAGTGAGCCCGAGGTAGAGCTCGAGGAAGAGTTCGAACCCGTAGGCCGAGTCGCCTCGGGTAGTTTGGGGAGCTCGGACTACTGGTTCCTCCTCTCGGAGCTCGCGCCTTGAGCGTACTGCCGTGACGAGCTGTTGCTCTTGCCAAGTCACCCTCGGTTGCTTCCACGTATTGGGTGGCCAAGAGGTCAGGCCAAATCTTCCTCCATTAGCTAGCATGTGAGCTAAACGCTAGTATAACCCTAAAATTAAAAATTCTATTTAATTTATTATATGGGAAAATATATAATACTAAAAAGGCATGATACCAGGAGAGTTTATGCTAATCAAAATCTCCCATCAATTTTGATTAATACTTCCTAATTGATTACCACTTTTTATACTGATTGATTGGTTATAAGATTTTTGGGCATTATGTCTTTATTGTATCTTATTTGAAACCCTTTTTATATTTATAAGAAGCTATTTTGGATTAAAAAGTTGGTTATTAGTATAATGTTTAAAAAACACTTTTTCCTTTTGTTTTTGAAAATGGACATTTCAAAAAGTGAGATGGGCTGTAGAACCAATGATAACTCTTCATATTAGTCTTAAAACACGTATGGTTCATACGTGTGTTCAGCTAATTAGAATTATCAAAAAAGTGACTTTTCAAAAGTTCGTTTAAATCAAAAAGCACTCCTAAAACATGGCCTGTTTATGCTTGTTTAAGAGGACTTTCACATAAAGGCTTTTCGCATTATGGGTAGGTATCTTTATCATAAACTTTTTTTCTTTGAGAAAATATCATACGATCCAAATCAAACCGAATCAAATTTGATTCGGTCTGCATTTCAAAATAGTTTGTTTGATTTGGTTTGCATTTTATTAAATTACAGATTATGGCTTTGGTTTGGTTTACTAGATTTTATAAATTAAAACAAAATATTAAACCATAAATATTCAAAATATTACATAAATACATACATATATATATAAACTCTTTTATTTTTATAATAAAATAATTAAATAAAAGTTTTAACTTTAAACTCTCTCTCTCTCTCTCTAACCTCTCAAGATGCTAGTATGAAAATACATGAATATAAAAAAAAAACATTGGGAGGATAGGGGCATCATTTGGGTTTTCTAATTGGATTAAACCCAAAAAAAAACATAGAACGGCCCAAACCATATTAGAAAACCACACCAAACCGCAATAAAATGGTTTGGTTTCATTTGGTTTCCATGCCAATACAGTTTAGTTTAGTTTGGTTTGATAATTTATCATGCTGTAATTTACTGATTTGATCAGAGTTCTCCAAACTGCAGTAGAACTGCAGTAGACCGAACTTTGAACTGCCATTTGTGAGGTAAACCCAACATAAACAGCCTAAAAGTAATGCCCTTTTAAAAGGGTTTAGCTGAACATTCAACCAAGCTGGTTAAGATGCTTTGAGCCCCCCTGTCTAAGCTATCTAAAGAGCCTTAAATGGCCAGCCCAAAAAAATGACTAATTATCAGATGGTTTAGGCTCTTAGTATTTTTCACCAAAAGTAGCTTAAAGTTAATTCATATAGAGCCCACTTTGTAAACCCAAAAGCTATTTTATTTCAGCTTGAAGTACACTACCCTCCACCAGAAAACTCTGAAATTACAGCCTCTCTATAAACAGCATCCTACCCGTGGATTCGACATTGGTCCATGGTCGAGATTCATCCCACCTGTATGGTAGGGTGTCCATGAAAAACCAAACCGAACCAAGAAAATTGAACCGCAAAATGCGGTTAACCGAACTGGTTGGTTTGGTTTCGGTTTAGAATTTTTGAAAAACCTAAAGACCGGTTCGAATTTCGGTTAACCTATAAAAAAACCGACGGTTAACCGAACTGACCGGTACATATATTTATATGTATATTATATATATATTTTTAATATATGTCACATATTTTCTATGTATTTTATATAAATATATACTTATATTATATTTATAATGATCTATTTACAAATATATTATATATTTTTAAAATATTTATAATATATTATATATCATTTATTATTTATAATATAATATTATACATATATTTATATGTATATATATTATAAATATATAAAAAACCAAAAAAACAAAGAACCAAACCAATCAAAAACCGAAGCCGATGGACCGGTTAACCGGTGGTTCCGGTTCAGTTTTGGTTTGGCAAAATGAAAAAATCGGTACCACCGGTTCAGTTTACAAAAAGGGGCCATGATTCGGTTAACCGAACTGTAGACACCCCTACTGTACGATAGGGTTAAAATTTCTGGGGTGGACTGAACAGTCATTCTCCCAAATTTATATTTGGTGAAAAGTAATATGCAGAAAGTTCGCCATCATTCAGACAAACAAAGGTTTCTCGAATAAACTTTTTAGTAGCCTCTTAAAAGTGGCTTAGAACACGTTTGGGAGGTATCCATCTTTGATTGAGGCATGCATGTTGAAAAATCTACGGGAGAGTTGGTTTATTAGCTCAATTAAAGTGAATTCTAATTTTTTGGGTTTTCAACGTGGGCCCACCTTGCAAAGCCCATAAGCTATAGCGTGAGGAACTGTGTTCATGTCTTATGCACCCTGCGGAGGAAGTGTGTTCACCTTGAAACTTATATCATGCCTATTAAGTAGTAGAGAAGTGAATGCTCACAACGTTGTTAGTATGGTGTATGTGGTGATAGGAGTCAAAATATATGAATACATTTGATGAGGGCATTGAAAATGTATGTGGAGTTGTCCAAAACAAACAAACAAACAAACCATATTGATGCCAAAGTGAGCCATTAGCATGAACAAGTTTTTTTTTTTGCCCCCATACAAATATGTTCAGTGCAAAACCTTGTATTTGCACCATATATATTTATATTTGTACTCTTCTCAAATTGATCCTAATATTTTAA